TCAGAAGGATCAGGGGCATATGTACGTACACATACAATATCAAGCGCAGTCATTTGTCATGTTTGCGCAACGGCTGCTGCACCATGGCTCCGCTAAATTCTTAACCGATCGTCACCCTAGCCCACAACCCTCAACCCCAAAAACCCAAAGCCGCAAAACCGCAATACTCTAAGCCGCTAAAATCACCAGACCCTGCGACGACTATGCGACTGAGCCCGGGCGTCCCGGCGGCATTCGGCCCGCTGTGTGTGGACGGGCCTGGATGGTGCAGAAGACTTCGGATTTGCAATAGTCATAGTACGAGTCATAAGTAATGGTAATAGCAATAAGGATAGTCATGGTAATAGTAACTCTTCATGAGGCTTTGAACGGGTTCTGCAAGGCTTTGTAAGAATTCTAAGCTGATTATGCAGACAGGGTTTACGGTTTGAGGCTTAGGGATCGGAGTTCTGCGTTAGGGGGGTAGCTCTATGGCGTATGGATTTCAGATTGCAGGGTTTTAGTTTGGGATTCGGCACAGATGCAGGGCTTCGGGACTAGAGACTGCATGTGAGGGCTTCGTTTCGGGTTTGGGCATTACTCCCTGGTGCGGAGTAGGGAATGGGGGAATGGATCCCTATAGAAGTTCCTACATAATCACCCAATGAAATGTCCCCATAACTACCCATACCCCCATTCCCTGCTAACTCTAGCCCTGACGATCTCGACTTGCTCGACTTGCGACCCGGGTTGTTGGGTTTGGGGCGTGAGGGCGTTTAGGAATTAGGGCTTGGGCTTCGGATTATGGGGTTTCCGGGGATCGCTGGGGCTGCCGGTTACCCTAGATCATCCTAGCGTGTAGACATGAGGTACTTCCATGGGACTTAGTAACTAGGGTTATAACTAAGGTAACTGTACTTTTAATTACTTATAACCCCAATTAGGGGACTTATAACCTTACTTACTAAGTCCCATGATCCTTTAAGTATCAGGTACCGCAGCACTTGGTTTGCACACTCCTCTAGACCGCCAGGCTCAAACTGGCCTAAACGAATTTCGAGAATCTACTAGACTATAGGGGCCTAAATAATTACCAATACTGTTTTGGGGGCTCCTTATGATAATTACAGCATAACGGGCCACCAAACCCTATTCTAATCATTAAGGCCCTACATTTCACCATTCATCTCCAAACACCCAGCCCAAATCCTTGAGGACCCCAAAGCCCTACAGGAATCCTCTCGAACCCGCCTTTTTCGGGCTCGTTACTATGATGGAAACCCTAAACCCTAAACCCTAACCCTTGAACAGGCAAACCTGGCTTCTGAGGGGTCCGCTCGACAGACGCTGCGCTCGCGTGAAGGAGCCTGCGGCCGTGGGTGCATGGGGGGTTTAGGGTTTAAGTTTAGGGTTTAGTGGCTTAGGGCTTAGGGTTTAGTGAAGTGGGGTCTTTGGGCTTTAGGGTCCAGGTTTAGGGCTCAGGAAGGTGGTGGTTCTTCTGATGCTACTTGCTGAAAACCTAAGCCCGGTTCAGGGTTTAGGTAACATTGAAAAGCCCTGAAACCCATTATCCGCGAGCATCGACATCATCGTCCTCGCCGGCATCTTCAAACACCATAAAAAAAATCATCGTCGCTAGTATCTACAACCCCCACCCTACACCCTCAACCCTTATCATCGAGGCCAGTACACAAGGCCAGAAACCTTTCTTACCCTGCAACCTCATCGCTCTTCTCTCCGCCAAGCAGGGGCAGCGCAAAACTAGAACTACTGTGCTTATGATTACTATGAGTAATACTACCAGGACCGCCATTGTTACGGGTATTGATACTAACCATTGCTACTATTGTCGATATTGCCATTGCTACGAATATTACCAAGAGTACGAATATTACAAATGTTTCTGTTATTACGAGTATTACTATAGCTACTAATTATATGTGTGTATATATATATATATATCTATATGTATTTGTAATAATGTTTATACATATATATATATATATGTATATTACTTACTAGTGTTACTTTTGAATTCACTTGGAAGCCTGCGGAACTTGACGGCTTCGTTGGCCTGAGTCGCGGGATTCTCGCTGGCTAGAGGATCATGGGCAGTTGGTGGTCCAGGGGTTAGGGTTTGAGGTTCAGGGTTCAGAGTTTAGGATTTCTTTTAGGATTTTAGGGTTTAGGGTTTAGAGTTTAGGGTTTGGGGTTGAGGGAAACAGTGGCTAGCTCTGAGCATTTCACTTGTAGCACCACTCACGGCGACCCACGGACCTGCAAGTACCAGTATCAGACAGTACAGGTCTGAATAGTCAGTACTTCGAATGTCCCAGGCACATCGGCAGTTCTCCGAAATACCCGGAATAGTACAGCACCCTGATCCCAGAAAGATCCTAATTTGGAGAACTACCCCTACTTGTCGGGCATCATGGGGAATTAAAGGTTAACCTTTTTGGTTATATAGGGATTATATAGGGACTATACTACCCCAATAAGGTTAAAGGTTACCTACTCGACTACTAGGTACCCACAGTATCATCGTGCCAGGTCTATTGCGGGTGCTGGGGCCGTGAGCCACGGCTCCGCCCCCCGCGCGGACACATGAATGTGGATAGCCGGAGCACGACGACTTGTCTGATATAGGGGCCTCAATAGTTCAAGCCGGGCTTTGGGGTACATTATCTTACAAGGCTTACAATTAAGAAACCACAACAAATAGTAATAGTACTAGCAATTATTGAGGAAGCCCAAGCTAATCTCATGCCAGCTGGCGTAACAAACTTCGACTAGTGGCAGCCATGCTGAGGAACAGCGGCTGCTCCAGGGCAGGAAGAAAAATCCTCACAATCCAAAACCCTAAACCCTAAAAACACTACACCGCTAAACACCTCAACCCTAAACCCCTAAACCCCTGAACCCGTAAACCCCTAAACCCAGAAACCCCTAAACCCTTAAACCCTGAAACCCCAAACCCTGGACCCTAATTAAATCCGAAATCCATGAAGATCTTCAGCCCGAAGTCCTGCAAACAGCCGAAACCCTCGGACGGTGTAGGGTTTAGGGTTTAGGGGTTAGGGGTTTAGGTGTTAGGGTTTAGGGTTTAGGCGTTTAGGTTTTTTTTTTTAAGTGCACTGGCTCTTTCTCCACTCCGCCAGGCGAAGCAGTGACTGTAGCCTGCCTCCGTCGCGGCTTGCACTACTCAGACACTCAGGACTTGTAGATGAACTCTTCAAACACCAGTGTCTGACACGATTCACAGGCCATCTCGACTGCGACTGCGGTCACGCGTTCTCGACCGACGATGCGACACATCCTCAACCTCAGCGGACTCCTCGACGGACTCATCGGACTCGTACATGGGCATGGCACCATCCCAGTGTAGTCCCCTCTCATCTCGCTCCACATTCCCCACACGACTTGAACGTCCCATCTCGGACGACGATGCACTTCCTGGTCCAGGATCTCCAGCAACGTCACGTTTAGGTTTTAGGATTTAGGGTTTGGGGGCTTAGGGTTTACGGCTTATAACAAGAACCAGGGAGCAGATCGACAGTAAAGCAAGCACTCTCGTCGCACTACAGCCGCAACGCTCATAGTTTGGTTTAGGGTTTAGGGTTTCGGGTTTAGGGTCTACGGCCTACATCCTCAACCATTAAAACCAAAACCAGACGTAGCTCCTTATCTAGCAAGACAGCTAGCTAGCTGGATAGGTAGATCAGATAGACACGGTGCACCGTGTTCCCTTCTGGCCTTAGGCCGACACTCTGCCCAGGATGCAGATGCCAGCTAAACCCATCGGAACACCATAAACTCCGAAACCCGTATGCTTGGGCCGCCACCATTCTGGTGGTGAGCCGATGGGCGACTGCGAGCGCAAACGACTTCGTGTTTAGGGATTCGAGGTGCGAGCTTGATGAGATGCAGTACTAGACTAGAGCTCATCATCCTCGCTACTATCATCTTCTTCGTATTAGTCTTCACCTTCTTCATCTGCATCATCACCATCATCGGCAGCAGCACCATCATCAATCACCATCACAATCATCATCATCGTCACCAGAATCGCCATCGTCAGCATCGTCACCATCATCAGCAACAGCAGCAGCAGCAGCAGCAGCAGCAGCAGCAGCAGCAATATCTGTGCGGTCACCCACCATGCCCATCATGAGATACACCCTTTGTGGCAGAAGCATCCCTCATGGACACTAGAAGAGGCACAACTTCCTCGGAGAAACATCCCATAACCCCTAGATCCTGAACCCTTATAACCCTTAAGCCAAAATTCCCAAACTCGCGCCTGGAAATCCTAGACCCTTTTGCTAAAGCCTACAACCCTAATTGTGAGCCGAACCCTAAACCCAGCCCCAATGCGTGCACCTTCGGAGAAGCCGGCGCCTCCTGGAATCCGTCGCAGGGCTAATGTAGGGGCCTTGATAATTAAAACAGGGTTTGAGGTATGGTATACTCTAGCCATTCTTGTAAAAAAGGAACGCCAGAATAGCATAGGCAGGGTTTTTGGGTCTGGGGTTTCGGGTTGGGTTGAGGGCTACGGTGAGTAGAGCGGCTTCAGGATAGAGGGTTTTAGTGGAGACGCCTAGACCTCCACCTCCAACACCCAACAAAGACTAAGCCCTAAGCCACTCAGCCTCCAACCCACCAAAAGTCAAAACAGATAAGTGAACCCCAAGACCTTAAGTCCTAGAGTCCTAAACCTACAAGCCCGAATAAACATCGTATCGTCATCATATATTCAGTAGCCCTGGGTTTATGCTACAAAACAAATGAAAGATCCCAGTAACACCCAGAAATCATATCTCAAGATCTACCCCAAACCTACATCACCAAGCCATACCCTAAAACCCGAAACCCCTACCTAAACCCCGTACACCCTGCACCCCAAATCCTACAAAACCGTATAATTACCCCCAAACCCCTGCAACCTGGAGGGCGACAGAGAGTTTTTTCTCGGCCACCCTTCGCAGCTCCGCGTTCGCTCACAAAAATCGGACAACCGCTGCTCAGTTCTTCTTCTTCTTCTCGAGCTTGCGCTTGTAGAAGTTCAGCTCCTGCTTTAGGGTTTAGGGTTCAGGGTTTAGGGGTTTAGGGGTTTAGGTTTAGGGTTTAGGTTTAGGGTTTATGGTTTAGGGTTTAGGGTGGTCGAGGTTTAGGGCCCGAGGCTACCCAGAGGTTGCAATACCCCTTAATTAAGGAATATACCTTCAATCATAATATTAAGACCCTTATAACTTAAGGTATATTCCTTAATTAAGGGGTATTGGGTTCTCTGGGTGGAGGCCTTCAGGGCCTTAGGGCTTTGTGGCTTCAGGGCTAAGAGAGAGCAGTGGTCTGGGCCCTTCGCACTGGGGTGTCCCACAAAACCTTGGAAAAAATCCTGAGGGTTTAGGGTTTAGGGTTTAGGGATCTGCTGGCTTTCGTGCGTTTGTGGACCTGGCATTCCAAAGGAAGCTTCAATGACTTCTGCTTTAACTTCCGCAACCCAAACTCTCAAGCCCCAAACCCTACACTCCAAACCCAAGCACGAACCCTCAACCTGAAGCCAAGATCCCCAAACCCTCAATTTAGATCTCTCGCGAACCCTCCAAACCCCACTCCCAAAATTCATGTAAACCACTCAAAAGAATCCTACGAACCTCCAAACGAATCCTACGAACCTTCTGAATTTCTAGAAGCAAAGCCCACGAGGCCACAAAAACCTCAGCGGGCCTCGCCCTCCAGGACGTAGCCGTCCGCGCGGCCGCACTGCCCAGGCCTCGAGGCGAGGCGTTGTGTTGAATGTTAAAAACCATATTGTTCAGGGCTTTTGTCTTTAGAGTTTAGGGGTTTCAGGGTCTAAGGGTTTAAGGGCTTAGGGTTTAGGGCTTAGGGTTTCGGGTTTAAGGTTTAAGGTTCAAGGGTTCAGGGTTTCGGGGCTTAGGGCTCCAGGTTTGGAGCATCTAAAGCGTGCCTCGAGGCGATGCAGGCCAACAGTCGGCCGCTCTGGAACTGCTCCTCAGGGGGGGGGGGGTCTTAAAGGGATCTAGAAGGGTTCCTTAAAAGGGATCTATAAGGGATCTAGAAGGGTTCTATAAAGGGATCTATAGGGCTTCCTTTACAGGGATCTATTAAGGGTTCTACAAAGGATTTAAGGGGTTTAGGGTCTGGGTTTTAGGGTTTAGGGCTTTAAACTTGAGGGCGTTCGGGTTTTAGGGTTCGGGTTTTGGGTTTTGGGCTTTGGGGGTTTTGGGCTCTCTCTCTCTCTCTCTCTCTCTCTCTCTCTCTCTCTCCGTCTCTATCTCTTTCTGTCTCTCTCTTCTTGGTGGGCTTTTTCAGGTTTACGGAAGTTTAGGGCTTAGGGGACAGTGACAGTCTACAAGAGGGCTGCCATTCAGGGCCTTATATATCTATATTTCACATGTTATTCAACCGCTACCGCATGGAAGGGGGGGCAGTTTCCAAAGGCTCTCGCTCTCTCTGAAAATGGTGGGTTGGGGTTCAAGGCTTCTGCTTGGGTACGGCCCCCACTCAGTAACAGTTGAATAATATTCATAATATAGATATATTAGGACCTTACTAGTAGCCCTATTATAGACTCTTACTGACCCTAAACCCTAAACCCCAAAACCCTAAACCCTAAACCTAAGCTTCTGCGTTTAGGGAACTCTCTCTCTGAACTCTCTCTCTCTTTCTCTTGTGGGCGGTCCTGGGGTTTGTGGGCGGTCCTGGGGTTTCGAGTTTGGGGGTTTCCCGGTTTAGGGTTCAGGGTTTAGGGTTTAGGGTTTAGGGTTTAGGGTTTAGGGTTTAGGGTTCAGGGTTTAGGGTTTAGGGTTTAGGGTTTAGGGTTTAGGGTTTAGGGTTTAGGGTTCAGGGTTTCGGATTTAGGATACAGCGTGTAGGGTTCGTGTTTTGGTAGAGGGGGGGGAGTGTGAAGGTTACTATAAAGGTTTCAGGACCAGAAGGACTGCCAGAAGTGGTTACCATGAGAATAGAAGCTAAGAGTTGCTATAAGTTTTGTTTGGGGCTTAGGGTTAGTGGACAGGTTGCTGTAAAGATTCCTGCCAGGACTACGCTGCTCTCGGTGTCTATCAAGGTTTGGTGGGGATGAAGATGGTTCTTATGAGGGCAAAGCAAATGCAGCGCAGGAGTCATAAGATAGCGTCAACCCTAAATACTAGGATCCTTCCAATCAGAGCGCCAAAGCAGACACCTCCTTCGCGGCTGACCAATTGGGTAAGGTATAACAAGGCCTTCATAATTTTGACGAGCTTTGCGAGAACGTTGTAGCGTAGTTGTATAGAGTTTTTTGTAAGGGGATACTACTGTTGATAATATAAATCCTGCATTACCTTAAGGACCCTAAACTATGGGAATTATGGTATATCCCTTATTCTAGGTAATGCAGGATTTATATCATCAACCGTATCACCTCGGCCCCAAACCCCGAGGATGCCCCAAAGTCCCGACGACGTCCTCCAGCAGGGTGTCCAGCTTGGTCCTGAGCGACGGGGCTCCGCACTGGGCCAATCGGTCGTATGATACAGTTTAGAGGTTGGGGTCTCGGGTTTGGAAATTCGAGATTCTCTTCAGTAGGCCAGCCTCGACATAGACTACCAGGCAGCATAAGGTTTAGGGTTCAGGGTTCAGGATCGAGGTTCCCGGACAGGCAAACTCCCCACTTAAGCCAACCCTAAACCCTAAACCCCAAAAACTCACACACCCCTAGATACATCTGCGGCCTTAGAGCAAACCCCTGAAACGGTTTAGGGCTTGGGGCTTACTTAAAGGCTCATGGGACAAGTTACTAGGGGACTTATAACCTTACTTACTAAGTCCCATGATCCTCCAAGTAGGGCTTGGGGACAGGAGTTCTGGACTCGACACCCGCAAAAAACACAAAAACACGACCCCATGAAACCTTCTGGACGGTTCACTGCTCTTTGGGGGGGGGCGGAAGATTTAGGGTCTACTCAGAGGATCATGGGCGCTTCTAGACAGATTGTAAGTAAGGCGATCACTGCACCATGACGGCTTGCTCCTGCAATTAGTTAAGGTGCTGACACCCCAACTCTTGTATGTATGTATGTATGTACGTATGTATGTGTGTATGTGTGTATGTATGTATGTATGTATGTATGTATGTATGTATGTATGTATGTATGTATGTATGTATGTATGTATGCGCGTGTGTGTCTGTGTGTGTGTGTGTGTTTATATGCGTGTGTATATAAGTATATACATATATATATATATAGACATGTGCGTATATAGGTGTATACAGATATACACATGCACATATGTGTATATATATACATATATACATATATATATATATACATATATACATATATACATATATATATAAATATATGTGTCTACCGCTGAACCTTAGAGCAAGGCTTGAAGGCTTGAAGTTTTGGTGCCTGTGGGTTTAACCTAAGGCCAAGGTGCTTGGAGGCACGTGCCTTCTGCTTTGCGATGACATGGCGGCTCAGCTTGACCTACCCGGAACTTGACTCCCAGTCCCATGGCTCCCTAAACCCTAAACCGTAAACCCTAAATCCTAAATCCTTAACCGTTGTAGTGGTCTGGGCCTCGGGGTTTTGGGGCGTGGGGCTTTGGGAGAGTACTGGAGGGCTTCTCGGGGCGAAGAGGTGGGAAGGAGGGACCCGGGACAATCCTAAACCCCAACAAGGGTGACGGGATCCCAACAACGCAGAACACCCGCCAAAAGCCGTGGTTGGTTTCCCAAACCCTAAAAGGAACCCCTAGACCTCAAAAAATAGGGTGTTTAGGTTCCAAACCGTCCAAAAACCTGAACTTAAAGGAGTAAGTGGCTCCCCACACCACAGACCCCTCAAAATGAGTTGCCAGCTCGAAAAGCCCTCAACCTAAACAAAACTAGAACAAAAGCCGCAACACTAGTAGAGTATGGTGGGCGGAAAAAACCCTCACAGGTGCGGGCTGTTCGCAAACTTTACTGCACCGATCAAGCTGGGTCTACTACTATCTACCTACCTATCCATCTATCTGTATATATATATATATATATATGTATGTACCCCAAAAAATAGGTGCCGTACTATATAAGCGACCCAAAAAAAGGACCATAATTTCGACAACCACCCATATATATATATATATATATATCATACAGTTCAACACCACAGCAGCGCCTCCTCCTTTTCCTCCTTCTTCTCGGTCTTGTCACCTCCACAGAAAGCTTCAAGTTGAGGGGGGGCCTCCGGCTGAGGAGGGCTTCGGGTTTAGGGGAATAGCTAACCAGTGGTTTTGGGGGCTCCCTTGGCTCTTTAGCTCCTTAATGGCTATTCTCATCATCCCTGGCTCCTTAGCTCCCCGAATATCAATGGTTAGATAGGGTGTAGGGTGTTGGGTTTAGGGGTCTGGGTTCAGGGTTTTGGGTGTAGGGTTTCGGGTTTGGGGGAGTAGGGTTGAGGCTCCGATGCCAGGCAAACCCCTAAACCCTACCCGAAACTCAACCCCAACCATGAACCGTACATCTCAAAATCCTAAGCCCCACACCCTACAGCCCCAAAACCCTCAAACCAGGGGAGAAAAGGGAGGCGGTCTCCAAAACCGTGGTTGAGCGATACGAGCCAGAAAAGCCCTTCTTCAGAGCCCCGTAAGCCTTTTATGAACTCTACACCAACAAGCTCTGACCCCCCAGGAACCCTAACAACCCTAAACCCCCACACCCCTAAACCCTCTCGCACCACGCCTAAACAAAGACACTACAAGGAGAGGAACGGTTGATGATATAAATCCTGCATGACCCATTATAAGGAATATACCATAATTCCCCTGGTTTCGGATCCTTAAGGTAATGCAGGATTTATATCATCAACCGAAGCAAAAAGAGATCCCCCAAAGGGCCTCCCTTCTTCTTCTTGCCAAGGTCGACTCCATACTTCTTCTGGTAGTACTGCATGAAGGGGTGGGCATCGATCCTCGGGGAAAAGGACCCGAATATAGTACCCTAAATAGTAGGATCCTTGTTATAAGGACCCCAAAAGAAGGCAAGGTAGCCCTAATTTCGGAAACTCTTATCCGGAGTTCTTGGAGGAGGATTTGCAGCAGTCGTCGTTCAGCTTTTGTTCTCACACTCCTTAGGGTTTAGGGTTTAGGGTTTAAGGGTTAAGGGTTAAGGGACTTCAAGGGTTCTGTGCCCTATTATACCCGAACGCCTAAAACTGAGACACAAACCCTAGCAGGCCTTGCTAAAGGGGTTTTGTACCCTCGACCCAGGGGCGCTACACTCTACACCCTAAACCCAAACCCTAACGTTGCTTTGAAGGGCCTGGTGGCCTCAACCCTAAGCCCCAAACCACCCCCTAGCCAAACCACAGGAATCCTTACTTGAGGTAACCTTACGAACCTACAACCTTATATCGCCCTTACAGCCCGTAAATGTTTTAAAGCAACCCTGGAGGGGTCGTGTAGCTGGGTCCCTATGGATCAAAGTTGCTGGACGACGGTGTTCTTGAGCCTGGGACATCCGCAGCTCCAGGGTTCTTGAGGGGTGGAGAGTTTGGGGTAAAGATCCACTGGGCTTTAGGATTTCAGGGTCCGGGCTGTTGGAGAGCATTGATCGTTGATTCGGAGCTGCTGGTTCTGTTCACGATGGGCCCTTCCTGCCTCGTCAGGCAACAAGACTACACAGCTGCCTTCATTCGATACTCAGGAAACCTTAAGCTGGTACGCCCCTTCGGGGGGTTGTCCAGGGCTTGCGTGGTGTGTCATAACACTCTTGTAGCTCTGTAACGTTTAGAAAGTTGACACAGTTGTTTTAGGAGCTGGCTTCAATGCATTGCTCCAATACCTGTGGTAATACTGTCAATGGGAAAGATGCCACGAATACGGTCAATGGCAACCAGGATTGCATTCTGAATACGGTGATTACGGGGTCGAAACCAAAGCAGAGTATGAGCAGAGAATGAAGGACTACGACAGGGCGCACGCATGGGTTGAGAAACTCAGGTCAAGAGGTTTCAAAATCCCTTGATTAAGGAATATACCTTAAACTATAGTCGGGATCCCTAAAATGATTCAAGGAATATTCCTTAATTAAGGGAGATTGGAAGGTCTGGGAGGTCAAGAGGTATCGGCCCAGCGTTAGGAAAGCTTCCTGTCATGGCGAGTCGGGCGAGACGGCTTGGAACCCATCGAGGGGGAGATGGGAGCTTCCAAGAATTAGGGGGTACCCTATTTTGGGGGTCCTTATGATAAGGATCCTACTGTTTAGGGTACTATATTATTTTCGGAAACTCCCAGATTGGTTGTGGAGAAGAGAGCGAAGAGGAAGCAAGGGACAAGGATGAGGAGGTTGCACTCGAGGCTGAGACTCTGGGAAAGCACGCATAAGCACCGCTGCACTGATGACATCAAGGACGGTGGTCAGGAAGAGGAGGGAGTCAACAATGCTGACACTGGCGCTACAAAAAGATGATGATGATGGTGGTGATGATGATGTTGACGATGACGGTGAGGATAAGGATGAGGAAGAGGATGATGCTGATGATGACGGTGATGAATATAAGATGACGATGACGATGATGGTGGGAGCGGCAGTGATAAAGATGATGACGATGACGATGACGATGAGGATGAGGATGATGGTGGTGGGATGATGATGAGGGGGATGACGATGATGATGATGATGATGATGCGAGTTGACGGCGAGTGCGACCTTCATGGTGATGATGGCGGCGAAGATCTCAGTCTAACTCTTGATACATATGTGCCATCAGCAAAACCCTGGTGATTGATGGAATGCTAGTTTGGTGCGCTTCCTGCGAGTAGTATCATCGCCATTTTTCAGGATCAGGCGTAGGTGTCGGCTACACGGCTACATGTAGGAAAAAGTTATCTGCCCCTGGTAGAAGCACCAGAAGCCTGATTGAGCTGCTTTCAAAATCGTTCATCGTTGCTGCAAAAGTTGCAAGGGGCCCCCCTTTGCTGTTGCGATGGTGTCGTGATGGAGATGTCTTTGTCGATTAGACTACTTACGAACACTGCTGTCGCCATATCATGGTGCTGCCTCCGATATAAATGTTCCAGCGATCCCTGCGCATTGTTCTGAAGAAGGCTTTCTTTTCGGACTATTTGCTGAATTATTGGCACCGGTACTGCTCATAACAGTGGAAGCCGTCCGGCCAACCTCGGAAGTGGGTCTAGGTGCCCCAAGCGCTAAATCATGACCTAGACCCTCAGCCTTCAAAACCCTAAACCCATAAACCCTAAGCAGCCCTGAACCCCCAAAGCCTCAAATACGAAACCCCCAAACCCTGAACCGTAACGAAGCTCCCTTTATCAGCTCAAGGGGCAAGGTCTTCGTGCGCACCAACTCGTTGCTCGTGGCGTTGTAGACCACGTCCAAAATCCTCACCTGGGGGCGAAGGCTTCATTCATAGGCGTTAAGGGATCCAAACGGGACCTACAAGGGTTCTATGTTGGGTTTAGGGGTTTAGGGCTTCGAGGTTTGGAGCTTCGAGTTTCGGGTTTCGGGTCCCGAGGATCAGGAGTTAGAACGGTCTCAGCTTGGGTTCACAGTCCCTTGTGGTAGACCCTGTCGTGGTAAACTCCCTTGAGGATGAAACAGAAGCCGGAACAGGTAGATAAGGCTGTAGTGTATAGTGTCCTACCGTCGTCGTAGTAAAGTCGTTTTCGCACCAGCGGTGGTAGCAGTCGTAGTCGAATCGTACACTATTTTTATATGGCATAACAGTAAGAGCTAACGAAACCGGGCCTTCTTGGCAATGTTCTCGGAGCCCCAGGCGTAGTTGCCGGCGTCCAGGCGCAGAGCGCGGTACTTCCTAGGCACTACCACTACAAGCCTTTACATTCCCATGACTACCACTACTTCCTTAGCATCATCACCATCATCATTATAAGCAACACCGGTGCTATCACCAGCACCAGCAGATAAATAAGCCAGCTTCGCCAATGTCCCCGGCATCATCACCATCTCGCTGACTTCATGTTCGTCTTTGTGGTGTGCCTTTGCCTTCGGTTCTATGATCATACAAACCCTGCATTACCCATAATAAGGAAGATACACAATTTCCATAGTCTTGGGTCAATAAGGTATTCCAGGATGTATATCATCAACCGTTGTACTGGCAGGTTATGTGAACGTGCAGTTGCCCAAAGACCAACCCCCCCCCCCCACCCCAAGTCCTCTCCAGTGCGATATACTCTGCCCTGGGCCTTCAAAGCACTGCAAACGCCAAACCGCGATTTTTGTTGAGGGTTTGGGCTTCTTTTTTGTTTAGATGGGCTCTTTTCCGGCTGCAGAACAGTTAGAAATCCTTAGGTTTGGGGTTTAGAGTTTAGGGTTGTGCTGCTTGAGCTCTAAACAGGCACGCCAGGACCTGAAACAAAAACTTGCAGAATCTCCAACCGCGGGACGGCCTTCCTCCCTTATATCACTCCCCCGAAACTTTCATCCTAAATCTGAAACCCCGAAAACCCTCAAGCCTGCAACTATCTGAAATCCTAAACCCCTAATCCCCTAAACCCTGACCCCCTAAATCCATAAACCCCTACCTTAGCATCTTCATCTTTCGAAGTTGCTTGTTGCCGCCGCGGCAGCGGACGACTCGCACCTTAAGCAGCTCAGGGTGTAGGGCTTCAGTTTAGGGTTTGGGGGTTTAGGGTTTAGGGCTTAGGGCTTAGGGTTTAGTAGGGCTTAGGGTTTAGTAGGGCTTCGGGCCCCGTGGCTGAGGGACTGCTGGGGTCGGTTTACACTGTGGGCTTTGGGGTCTTAGGCAAGCCGCTTCTTCTGGAATGAACGCGACCCGCATAGCCCCGAGCTATATAAAAGAGCCGTTGATGGCGCAGCAACGGCAGTCAGTTACGATCTGGGTAGTTGCAGCCCCTGTTGCGCTCTAAAGCCTAAACCTCAAAGCCTCAAACCCAAACTGCCAAACCCGTCTAGGTCCTAACACCCACCAAGCCATAGAAGAATCCCCTGCAGATCCGTCATAGAATCATAGAAGCCTTAAAGATCCTTCATAGAACGCTGCAGATCCCTCATAGAACCCTCATGGAACCCCTCAGATCCCTTCTAGAACCCTCCTCGATCTCTTATCGATCCCTCATAAAACTATCCTGGATCCCTTATAGATCCCTCATAAAGCCCTCCTAGATCCCTCATAGGCCAGGCCCTTTAAGGAATCCCTCCTCGATCCCCTATCGATCCCTTCTAGAGATCCCTCATAGAACCCTCCTCGACCCCTTATAGATCCCTCTAAAGGAACCCTCACGGATCCCTCTAAAGGAACCCTTATACATGCCTTTAAAGAAATCCTTATACATCCCTTTAAACGAACCCTTATAGATCCCTTTTAAGGAACCCTTATAGATCCCTTTAACGCAGCCTTTATGTGCATCCAGAGGCCCCCCCTGTCTGCCGGGAGACGCGCTTCGGGCCCAGCTTGCAAGGCGTGGCCGGGCGGCCCATCTCATACTTGCGCTTCTTGATGGAGACCTGTCAGGCTTTCTTTAAGGGTTTAGGGTCTAGGGGGTAGTAGTAGTAGTAGTAGTAGTAGTAGTAGTAGTAGTAGTAGTAGTAGTAGTAGTAGTAGTAGTAGTAGCAGTAGCAGCAGTAGTAGTAGTAGTAGTAGTAGCAGCAGCAGCTGCAGTAGTAGTAGACCTGTCTGGTTTAGGGTTCAGGGTTTAGCGATCAGGAGATCTGCATGATATACGATTCTTGCTGCATGATATACTGTAAAGTGATGCTCGTAAGTACTATGATATACTGCACCATGGGCTGGAGGGATTATTATTAATGTTGTTATTGTTATTGTTATTGTTATTGTTATTGTTATTGTTATTGTTATTATTATTATTGTTATTATTATGATTATTATTATTATTACTATTTTTATTCTTATTATTATTATTATTATGATTATTATTCTTAATATGATTATTCTTATTATTATTAGTATTATTATTATTATTATTATTATTATTATGATTATGATTATGATTATGATTATGATTGTTATTATTAATTATTATTATTATTATTATTATTATTATTATTATTATTATTATTATTATTATTTTGCTTATTATTATGATTATTATTATTATTACTACTACTACTACGATTATTATTACTACTATTATTTTTATTGTTTTAAGTCCAAGGTGCAGGGTTGATAACCCTAAGGGCTCCAAGCTTGCTTCTGGTCTGAGGTTGATATACAGGGTTTAGGGTTTAGGGTTTCAGGATTTAGGGTTTAGGGTTTAGGGATAGTCTCATTGAGATCTAGAGCAAAGCGCCCTCCTACGGCCAAGCCAGGACACGACATCGAAAAAGCGCCGAAGGGCCAATGCCTATTATGTCGGGCCTGCATGCTTGGAATGGGGTTGTGGGATGTATTCGGGTATCATGATATTGATCGTACTACAGATTACACCGAACCCCCTATTTAGATGCGAGGTGCTGCAGGCTGGAAAAAACCCGGGCCTCGTCACGAGTCAACTCAAAGCCCTCAAACCCTGAACCCTTCCCCCCACCCCCCACGGCCCCAAAACAATCAAAACTCAAGGCTTTGTAGGCCAAACGAAAAAGCCTGAAGCTTCCAGGAACATCAATAGCCACACAGACACTTCGCACGGCGGTCTGAGCCCAAACACCTCATTTCCCGGAGACTTCTGAGCCCGGAAAGCCTTAAGGCCCTAGATCCTGAACTGCCCAAACCCCTCCCTAAACCCTAAACCCTATACCCTAAGCCCCATACCGCATACCCGATACCCTATATACCCTAAACCCTATACCCTATACCCTCAGCCCAAACCCCTCAATACCCTCAACACCGCGGGGCACATTGCTACGGCCGCCGGTCTTGTAATGCTTGTGCCGCGAGTCACGGGAGATTCCCATCTTGGAGCTCCTACGAGGGTTTTTCCTTTGGTTAGTAGGGAATGGTAAGGTTCCCTTTAAGGGGGTCTATAAGGGGTACTATAAGGGATCTATACTTGCCTTTGGTGGAGCTCCTGCGAGGTGTTTTCGTTTGGGGTCGTAGGGGTTTCGGGCTTCGGGAGTCGGGTTTCGGGTTTAGGGTTTAGGGTTTTAGGGTTTCCGTTTTAGGTTTAGGGTTTCGAGTCGGGTTTTAAGTTTAGGGTTTAGGGTTTAGGGTCTATCGACGACTGCTTAGGTTTCGAAGGCTTGGGCACTCTTGTATGGGGGGTGTCGGGTTTAGGGTTTCGGCGCGGAATCTAGGATTTGCGGTCCGGGTGGGGATTCGGTTCAGAGACTTGCTACTGTTCAGCAGATGGGATTGCAGTTGTAGAATCACTTGCGGGAAGACTTGGTCCTACCGGCTTACCGTTCTCATCCTCGTGCTCGAGAATTAAGCCATACCCTATCATCCGAGAATTCTCCTACAGGAACGAACTGTCCAGGATTCTACTAGTAAGGTCGGTATAGAACCGGCGGAACTTGTCTCTTATGACCAGTACAAACAAGGGCCAGAAGCCCAGAACAGCAGGTTTCTGCAGGTAGGCAGGCAAAGCCTGGCCTGTGGTTCGAAATAGCCCGAAAGCCATGTACGGCACGGTCCCCTAATGATTCCTTACAGCCTTCGGCTTAGAGCTCTCGATATGAGGCAGCCCCGAATCAGGGATAAGGCGTTGAGAATCGGGCGGGCGGGTATATCGGAGACCTTCCTCCCAAAATCGTGGACCCCACACCTCAAACCCAAACCCGAAGACTGCCCGGGCAGTCCTTGAGTTTCACTCGCTGCAGGTGTTCCAAAGATTCCGTGGCCACTGCTTTGAACCGGAACGGCCCCCGTTGCGGCGGCGTCGCTCTCAAGAGGCTTCGAAACCACTATCCGCGGACTCTTACAGCAATGCCTCGTGGGCTCTATAAGGCCCTCCTCTTTTTCAAAGCCTGTAAAAACTTCGGAAAAATCTCCAGATCAACCGGCGAGGCTTGGATGCTCAGATTCGCGGCCCAAATTTCCATGCGATGAATTTCGGGCCTCTTGTGTTTGGGGTGCAGGATGTGAGTCTTAGTTGAGGGCCAACTGACCATGTACTTGGGAGTTAACGGGGTATTCAAGCTTCAAACCAAATTCCCCCAGATGCGGCTATCTTCAAGCGCAAACGAGATTTGTCCTAAACCCTAAACCCTAAACCCTAAACCGACGGTGCTCCGCCGAAAAGCCCTGAAGCCAAGGAGCCACAGCCTCGAGTCTTCAAGGGAAGGGAAGGGTTTAGGGTTTAGGGTTTAGGATTTAGGGTTTAGGGTTTAGGGTTTACGGTTTAGGGTTTAGGGTTTAGGGTTTAAGGTTTAGGGTTTAGGGTTTAGTAGGGAATGGGGGAATGGATCCCTATAGTAGTCCCTATTTCGGGTTTGGGGGTTAGGGTTTACGGTTTAGGGTTTAGGGGTTAGGGTTATAGTCGTCCCTACATAATCCCAAACAACAGTCCCCATAGAACCATTCCCCCATCTCCTTTTAAGAACCAGACAGGGGCTATCGATACCCTAAGACCCCTTATAGAACCCTTACAGAACCCTTTAAAGGAACCCTTTAAGCCTTTAAGGAACCCCATTCCCTTTTATCATAGGGATCCTTAGGGGTGTAGGGGGAGGGGGGTAGGGGGCCTTAATGCCCATAATAAGGACTAATAAAACCTATTATTTAAGGAAATATAGTCCCCTACACCCCTCCCCCCTACACCCCTAAGGATCCCTATGATAAAAGGGAATGGGGTTCCTTAAAGGCTTAAAGGGTTCCTTTAAAGGGTTCTGTAAGGGTTCTATAAGGGGTCTTAGGGTATCGATAGCCCATGATTTTAAGAACCAGACAGTCAAGTACCGAGAAGCGCTCCGGTGTGTCCGCTCCCGAGCTCCCCGGCTCTTTGTCGCCTGAGGCGGTCCCAGGGTCTCTTTGGCAATCTGGGGCCCCTAAACCCTAAACCCTAACCCCTAAACCCTAAACCCTAGGCCCTAAACCCTAGGCCCTAAACCCTACCTTAACCCCAAATAACCTCCCTTTTTAAGGACTTATGTAAAGAAATCAGATTAGGGAGCCCTAAAAAGGTAGGTTCCTTAGGGTCCAGGTAAACCCTAAACCCTAAACCGCCTTAGAGATTCCGGTCTCGTCGGCTTCGGGTTTTTAGGGCTTTCAAGGGCTCTCCAGAAACCAGAGACCCATTGGCCCCTCCTGAACCCTCAACTCCCAACCCTCTCTCCCGAGCCTTTACTCAAAAAGGGGAAAAGGAGGAGGGACCCCTACCCTATAATGGGCTATATAATGGGTATATACTAGCTATTTTAAGCTCTTTTGTGGTCCCTCTATTTAATGGCTCAAGCCCAAACGGATGCTAAAAAAGGCAGCTGAAGGATTCGTAATCCATCATCTTCCCTTACAGTGCCATTTTAACTAGGATACCCAGTAACCTAAGAATAAAAAGGCCTCTCTTTTTGGTATTGGGTAACTTTATAAGGAACCTAGGACTACAAAAAGGGAATAAGGGTACTACTGGAGATCCTAGTTAACTATTGTAGAATATACCCCCAAAGCCTTGCTCTGCATGCTAAGGCCCCCCTCTCCCATGCCGCCGAAGGAGCGGGGCTCTTCGGCAGGTGCCGGCATGGCTGGCGCGTTGCTGATGCTCTTGGGCTCTACAATTGCGCGTGGTTCAGGGTTTATTAGGGTGATGGGGCTGTGGATTTGATGTTGCGGATTTCGGCGGTATTTTGGGAGGCTTGAATCATTGCAATAGGGTTCTGGGTATAGCCTGCTATAGTCATAATAGGGAGAATCGTGAAGAATAGCCTGAGTAAATCTCTCAGGCCCCTGCGTTAGTTAGCTTTAAAGGTCGGGGCAAACCCTAAACCCTCAACCCCTAAACCCTAAACTTTGGAGGTCGGGGTTTTGGCGTTTCGGTGTCGGGACCTTGAGCATTCGCGACGGAATCGGGCGAAGCTTGAGCTTCCGAGGGTCTTCAGGGTTTAGGGTTTAGGGTTCAGGGTTTAGGGTTTAGGGTGTGTCACAGTGCCACGGCGCGCCCCACCCATGGAGTGGTCGTGGGTCGCGCCGTCTTCGTAACGTGGAACCCACCCACAACCACCCGAAGCAGGACTAGAACGGGTTTTGTGTTCTGCTTCTTCTTATTCGAGTGCTGCACTAGCCGAAAAGACGTTGCAATGTTGCGGAACGTCAAAGGGACATCCGAGTGATGTAGTCACAAAATAGCAGCGACGCCCTCGCTCGTCCTCGCCGGCCGCCAGAGTCGTCCGTCAGCCGTCGTCAGAGTCGTCCGTCAGGGCCCAGTGCCAGGCCTCCAGAAGTGGTCTGCAGCCGTCCGCTGTCCGTGCCAGTCCGGCCAAGAGTGCTGATCATCCAGTCGGCCGCCAGGGTTTTTTCGCCCGGCAGTCCGTGCCAGAATTGTCCAGCTTTGCCGCCAGACTCGCACTCCAAGGTCCTTGCCAGAGTCGGCCACGGCCCCCAAGCTCTTTCTAGGACGTCCCGTCCCCGTCAAACTATAGTCGTCAGCCGCCAGAGACGTGAAACGGACATTTCCGCCTGGCCACGGCACTGTGACACACCCTGTACAGTGACGGAGCTAAGTCGCATCATGCTTGTTGGATCCCAGCCCACCTTGCGGGGAAGCACCCGGGGGGGTCGCATCACCGGGCGTCTACTTGGGGATACGTGATTATGTTGATTCGGGAATATTGAGAATTGAGTGCTGAAGCTGAATTTACAGCAATTTACTTGCAGATTCGTTCTCTCTGTGTTGCTTGGTGCTTGCTGTGTGCTTGCAAAATCGAGCGTCTACATGGGGAACGGCTGGTTTTTGTTTGCTGTTTGATTCGACGTCGCTGATGTATTTCTGGAGCGGGCGCTTGCTAAAGCGAGCGTCTACATAGGGAATGGCTGGTTTTGATGTGCTGTCCGCTGCGATGCCACTGATGTGTTTCTGGAGCGGGTGCTTGCAAAATCGAGCGTCTACATGGGCAACGGCTGGTTTCATGGGCTGATTGCTGCGATGCCCCTGATGTGTTTCTGGAGAGGGTGCTTGCCAAATCGAACGTCTACATGGGGAACGGCTGGTTTTCATTTGCTGTTTGATGCCTGGCCTGTTCCTCAGAGGGAAGGACGACGAACCGTCCACACCAGAAAAAGCTTGTTTTGCGTCTTTACTTAAGAGAAGGACGACGAACGGGCCCCGCAGGTTGTCCGCAAAGCTCTTTTTGGAGGAACTGGGTCCCCGCAGGGTCACCCCGCTGTCTCCGCCAGGGTCGCTTGGTCAGGGTCGCCGTCCCCGCCAAGGTCCTTACGCCGTCCTTGCCAGGGTCGTCCGCCGTCCCCGCCACGATCGCCCGCCGTCCGCGCCAGGGTCGTCCGCCGTCCTCCAGAATCGTCTGCCAAGCTGTTTTTGGCCTTTTTAGTTGCTGTCAAAGCCAAGTGCCCGCCAGAGTGTCCGCCGTCCCCATTAGGGTTGCCCGCCGTCCCCGCCAGGGTCGTCCGTCTGCCAAACTGTTTTTGGCCTTTTCGTGCCTGTCAAAGTCATCGCCAAGTCCCCACCAGAGTTGTCCACCGTCCCCGCAGGGCCGCCGTCCCGTCCGCCATCCCCTCCAGAGTCTGCCAAGCTGTTTTTGGCTTTTTCAGTCCCTGTCAGAGTCGCCAAGTCCCCGCCAGAGTCGTCCGCCGTCCCCGCCAGGCCCGCCGTCCCCGCCGGTCGTCCGCCGTCCCCCTCCAGAGTCGTCTGCCAAGCTGTTTTTGGCTTTTTTAGTTGCTGTCACAGCAGAGTCGTCCGCCGTCCCCGCCAGGGTTGCCCGCCGTCCCCGCCAGGGTCGCCAAAGTCGTCCGTCCACCAAGTCCCCGCCAGGGTCGTCAGCCGTCCCCGCCAGAGGGCTCGCCATCC